ACCTTTAAGGCTGATGATTTCCACGGACTTGGAAGGGTAATGCGTGGTGCATTAGATCTTTTCCATTCCAGATGCTAAATTTTTTAAACATTTGAACCTATATAATTTATTTCTTTGATTTTCTTTTAATTTATTTCTTTGATTTTTTATTGTAAATACTCCTCATGCAGTGTTGTTATAAATATATCTCATGCAGTGTTATGCTTTTTTCAACTTCCTTTAACTAAGTTATCTCGGCCATATCATGTTGGAAAGCAGAGAACAATTTAGGTGCTTGAAAATGGCCTTACACGCTATATAAGGTGACCCTGCTTTCTATGAGACAAGAGCTTGCCCCAAAGTTTGAAAAGTTCAGTTCATGAACCTGAGCCTGGAAATATTACCTTTTCTGCTTGGGCCAGTTTATGCTTCTTGTCGTTGGTTACAGCATTTAGAGCGAAAAAACAACGAATTTCCTTCCACAAGTTTTCAAAGACAATGAGCAATGATTCTCAAGATCATTGTAAGAACGAATTCCTTCCTTGTTCAGGAGCAAAATTCAATCTATTGCAGTGAAAATTTGAAACCTTTGCTATCAAGAACTTTTGTATACAGCATGTTCACGAAGTGTAGAATCTAAGGTTTGCTCTATAGTTCTTATTACAGATGGTACAAAAAGCTGTGCTACCATGAATAAAAACTTAAAACCTATTGTAAAACTAAACTCCCATTACATATCTTGCGTGTAGCGCTGATGCATGCAAGCCACACATGCTTTTGAGTTGATTAATCCTTTTCTACAAGGGTTGACTCTAAATCAATCCAGTGGTGAAGCGCTGATGCAACGGTGAGAGCATCTAAGAAGAATGGTCATGCCCACTCCCACTTGGTTCATTGTGATTATGAAGTTTCTGAGTTGCTTCGGTGATTGAAGATATTGCTGTAACAATGTTGCTTTGAAAGAAGGATCTTTAGCCATAGCTGCACCAACTAAATTCTCCAAGTAAGGATTTCTCTCAGATGCCATTGTGGTCCGAGACTTGGCAAACAAATTCAGTTGCTCGGTTTGTTGAGCTGAGCCATGCAATGAGAAAGGGAATGGTTGGCACTGGTTTAGTGATGAGGCAGGCCTCTGGAAGTTCAAAGAGTTATTTTTAGAGGGGGCAGTCAAGTCCAATGTTATTGTAGGACATGATGATGATGTAGAGAAGGAAACCAAGCCACTAGAGGCAGGAGCAGATAATGAAGAGAAGAGGCCTGAATTTAGGACAGTGCTGTTATTATGTGCAGAACTAGTGGTTGAGCCCGTAAGTAACATGCTCAGTGCTGCTGATGTTAGGCTTGCCATAGGTCTGGCTGCTGCAGGGAGTGGATGATTATGGCTCCCTTCATAAGTTGTAATGAACACATTATTATCCTTAACACACCTTTGCACCTGTAACAATATATGAATCTTTTTTCATACATGGTTCTTTGGCACCAAAAAATTGCATTCTTCTAGTTTTGAACTTGGTTTTGAGAAAAGAACACTAAAAAAATCAATGACATGGTTCTTGTTCAACATGTTTCTAACACTATCTGTTCATATCACGTGGACATTGGACAAATGTTGACATAGATTTTAAACACTCATAATACACACCACTTTTCAATTGAAAAGAAAATTCCCAACGGGGTTAAAACAGATTAGTAGAGAAGACGCATAAATTTATTCAAAAAGGTGTCAACGAAGTGCATACATAAATAGCTCAAGCCCATTTTCTATAGCCACATGTGGATCTGCAAAAGGAGCTTATAAAAATAAACACAGGATTCCAACTTGTTCTAACATCAAATGTACACTTGTAAAAGTCTTAAGAAAGCTTGTTTCCTTGATACTATAGAACAGAGATGTTCACGAACCTGTTTACGAACTGGGCATGCATTTCCCATGCTGCAACGGTAATAAGCTCGGGGACAAGGGTTATTCTTAGCTGTCTTTTGTCCATACTTTCTCCACTGACACCCATCACCTATCTGATCATAAGAATCAGAAGTTTCCTCATTAACTATATTTTCATCTTCTGAAATTAGCAAACACATAACAAACATTGAATAAGGCTACTGGAGTATAAGCTCCCTCATGCTGTATAAAGTTTAAAATTGGAACCAAAGGGTTGTGAATGTAAGTTTTGAAAACCTCAAGGGGCGAATGTATATATAATTTACTCAACCAATGTAATATTAATCCAGTTAAAGAGAAATATGTCCAAAATAGCATAGAGATTTATACCAGAGAAAAATCTGAACGTGCCCGTATGGAAACTCTAGCCTTCCTGCAAGATGGCTCAAATGCTTGATCTGTTATTCTTTTAGACCCTTCCAGTCTTACTTGGCTACTCATACCAGGATCACCCTCAAGTGACAAAGCTGGTTTCTCCATCACTATAACATGATCTGCCCTATTCTGCTTCTAAATTAATGAACACACTTATCATCTGCTCTTTTGAATAAGCTCTTTCAATATATATCCCAAGTCCCAGATTAAGAGACAGAGTTATCATAATTAAGTAAACAAGAAAGTTTTGATTCAAACTAACCAGAAAATCCTGAAATTTTGGAGGCGGTGATGATTGCTGCTGATGCTGCTTCTGCATAGTTAAAGAAGGTGATTCTGAAGAGAAGTGTAGTGTTCAGTAATCTGGTTTAGCATAGCTCTTAAATTCTGATTTTCTTTCTTTGCTTCCTCTAGCTTAATTCTCAGCAAACCTGCCTAAGAATCGTATGTCATCCAGACCCAAAAGCACAAGTCATTGATCTGGTCCAACGTATAAGTGATACCAATCAAAACTCATGGCATAAATTTCCTAATCAAAGATTATACTTACTTGAGTAAACGGCTGCTCTTGATTCGGGTGGATTTTTTCTGAGATATTCAGGCTCAAACTGAGAAAATTGAAACCCATCTGCATATATTAGAAAATTGAAAAATGAGGGAAACTGCCTCATTACATATAGAGGTCTTTCATCTGAGGTTTGATTTTGGATTGGCCAATCGAGCTTAATTAACAAAACAATTATCTTTATGATGGAAGAGGGGAGACAGAAACCAAAATAGAAGGAAACTTACAGTGCTGTTAATGGAGGTTTCTTGAGTTTTATTATCACACATGTCTGGTGGCGCTTCCTTAACTCGCAGTAATTCTTTTACTGAAGCCTGTCCTTCCATTTTTGTACTCTGTATGGTGATAATGATATCAGATCTGAGAAGATTACTGCATACCGTGATCCAGCTTTTGAAGATCAATCAAATAATTGATGCAGTGCAGAGCAACGATAATCTAATCTTTCTTTCTCATCAACTCTAGTTTCTAACACTATTTTTTCTCATTTTAACTAAATTTTTTGTGGTATCATTTTAAGTTCAAAAAGTGGGCTTTGCCCAAAAGTATGAATTGTCATGATAGAAATATGTTCATGTACATACATACATACATACATACATACATACATATATATAGATATATATATATATATATAGTGTATACAAGCGTATATGTACCCATGTACAAGTCAACTATAGGAGAAGGGACTAATCGTGATTCTAGATAAACTCTTGTTACTCTTTACCTTATGAAATTTCCTTGATGGTTGAAAGGAAAATCAGGGACACCTGAAGAAATTAAAATGTTACTCCTCCGGTCCTTATTATAAGACCCAATTTGACTTTTTATTTGGTCCTAATTATAAGACCACAATCCATTTTATCTCTTATATTTATGCATTTTTTTCCAAGATAATCCTTCTAATAATGATAGTTTTAGCCAATATACTTAATTAGCAAGGATATTTTAGGAATGACAACACTTATTTATTATAAATAACCAACTTAACTTACTTTCTTAATCTCCTCAAATAAGTCAATTGGGTCTTATAATTAGGACCGGAGGAGTAAAAAATATCCAAGATGAGTCACGGTCTAGGAAGAAAATATAGACAGATATAATTAATAAAATACAGGTCAATGAAGTGCATTATAAATAGGCAAATCAAATGTATTAAGTAGTTTTTTTAAGGAGGTCGACCTTTCACTGAGTTATGACTTGTATCTTATCATCATCATTTTTGCTTCCTCCATGGAGATTTTTCTCCCTGTCCCTCTCTCTCTCTCTCTGTGTTCAACCAGAGGCATTGCACGCAACTGCTTTTATTTAACAATCATGTCACCTTTCAACATTCGATCCTAAGACTGCATTTTTATTTTTAATGATGTCCATATAAATGTAATCTTGATATCCTTTAATATTGATTTTTGTTTTTTGTTTTTGTTTTTCCTTTTACATGGAGCCAACTTGTATCCATATTGCTAAATAATACTACATCTGGTTATTAATATAATGGCTCCTTAACTAATTTAATTTACATAAATTGAAAAAAGAGACAAATTAGTCATTTATAACTCAACATCATTGAAATATTTATGTACAACATTAGATTTTATATCAATTTACAAGTTAGGTAAATTAGTTTCAAAAAACAATAAACATGAACAACAAAATAAATTGATGTATTCTATTTAAAACTAAATATAACTCCATCTAACTCTTATCTCAGAGATCAGACGGAGTTTTTCGGATGATTCTATGAAAAATGGAGGATTGAATATTACAAGAAATTTAGAAGCCTCAAGAATTCCATGGCATTAGTCAGTCCAAGGGGTAAAAAAAACAAAAGGAAAAGAACGTGCAAAGAGTACCATAATCACATAATGTGTTTGAAGTGGAAAAGCTAGAGTTGCCATCATTTTTTCTTCTTTTGCGCTTAATAAAAACCTTGTCAAGTTGAATATCAAACTGATGGATAAGCCGACGGGGTATACCAGAGTCCAGAAAATGCCCTGGAATGGAAATTTATTTCTGTGCGCGTCTGACCCGCGTCCAGATCTCTATCGTCTTACTATTTTTCTCAATTTATTCGACCTTTGCTATCCTTTTACATTTTAACCTTCTCTCTATTCCGGGGGTAACATTTTTCAATCATGTAGGAAATTAAGAAATAGGAAAAATATATATACTTTTATACTGCTTCCGGTCTTTAATATAAAATCTTATTTGATTTTTGTTTTGGTCCTAAATATAAGACCCAAATCCACTTTGTCTCTTATATTTATTTATTTTTTCTTAAAATAGTCCTTCTAATAATAATATTTCTAACCAACAAACTTGATTAGTAAGGATATTTTATAAAAGACAATACTTATTTATTACAAATAATTAACTTAATTTGTTTTTTTAATCTATTTAAATAAGTCAACTAGTTCTTATATTTAGAAGTGAATGTAGTATATCATTATATATAATTTAACATAAAGTCGGTATGTCTTGGAGCAGGTGATATTTGTATCAAAATGTATAGTGCACAAGACTGGTTAATAAAAGTCTGCTTTCTTGTCAGACTTGGTAACCCCAGAAAAATACATTTTAAAGAAGAATTCAAACAAATCATTTGGTAAGCAACGTAGTTGCATGAAATGTTGGCTTCCCAGAGAGTTGGAATTGAGGTCGTTGAAAGTTCGATTACTTTGGCGTGACTAGAAAGGCAAAAGACCGAAGCCTAGTTTTGTAGCGAATTTATATACAGGAAATACAGTGAAAGAGCTCAAATACAAAAATCTTGTCATGAACTAAACATCCATTTCATGAGAGTGGTGAGCTAAAAATCATTCAGTGTAAAAAGTAACGGAGAAATTATCGCCTGATCGTGTCTAGTAATATAACGTCTAATCCTAATTATAAGAGCTAGCTGACTAATTTGAGAAGATTAAGAAAAGAAGTTAAGTTAAATATTTATTTAAATATTTGTTGTCTTTCCTAAAATATCCTTGATAATCAAGTGTATTGATTAGAACTACTATTATTAGAAGGACTACTTTGAAAAAAAATACATAAATATGAAAGACAAAGTGGATTAGGATTTTATATTTAGGACCAAAATAAAAGTCAAACAAGATTTTATATTAAAAACCGGAGGTAGTATATATTAACAAATTTAGACAACACTTGACTTGCAAATAATAATACATTTTTTTAAGGAATTTTTGATTTGGGGTTATGCAATATCTAGGTTTTTATACAATACTTATATCTAAGTTTTTTATATTTATTACAACAAATTTTCCAATCACATATGGTAAGTGTACTATTTTTTATTTATTATTATTTAATTATAAATTCACATAAAATAAAATAAAATACATAGTCATATGTGATTAGAGAATTTGACATTATGAATGTAAAAAACTTGATCTAAATATTTTCTTATGATTACTACTTTTTTTTATCATAAATGTTAAAGTTAGCTAGGGAGTTAAGTGGAAAAAAAAGTTAGGGAGTTGTGTTTGATAATAAATATAGAATCTTAATTCATGTTATCTCTCATATTTATTATTTTTTCTGACTTTGCATAGAGACATTTTAAGGAGCTTGTCATATTTTAGGGTAGAGCGGTGCTCAATACCAAATCTTTCCAGTGCCTTAAAAAAAAAAATTCAGTATCATAATATTATTTTTCAGATATATCTATTATCCTGATATTATTTTTTTGATTTTTTTTATTATGCATTGAACACCATAAATCATCATAATAAATAAAATTAAGAAAAAACCAGGTTCATAAAAAAAATAATATAAAAGTATCAGATGCATCACAAATAAAATTGAGATATTGGATGCACAAATGACATAGTACTACTATATTCTACGTACTTCACCCTTAAAAATAAGAAATAATTCATTAACATGCAGGGTTCAATGACTATCTAATTTTTTTAAGGCTTCTAAATACTTTTGATTTTTTCAGGTAAAAGTAAAAACGATAAATGTCATTAAAAAAAAACGATAAACAATGGTAAATTATAAGTCAATTGTTGTAATAATGTACAAAATATTAAAAAAAATCGTTGGAAAAAGGAAGGAAAAAAATTCAGACAGCCATCCATTTGTAATCATATGTATTAATTTATTAATTATGAATACGTGTATATCAAATATCAATATAATTATTCCTTGCACTATTATTTGACAGTGGAAAGAGTATGATTTTAAAAATTAGCGATATTTCTCCCTCCAAATGCCATAGGGACACTTTCCGGGAGGGCTTGTATGCATGCCCTTCTTTCATTGATTCTTCCATTCCGTCCACTTCAGAGGCAACTAGCTTCTGCAGGAAGGCTTCTATTGATTCTTCTCAACATTTTATTTTCAAATATATTCCTAAAGAATAACCAGAAGAATTACAATAAGGAGCTTGAAAGAATGTTGGGCCTAATGGAATCGCAGTCTGTGCTTCTCTGGAACAGTTTGCCGATTCCCCTGAAACCGGCGACGACGATCTCCACTTCCTTTGCTCCAGCCCTAACTCCTCGAAGACGTCTAACGACTTCGGCATCAGCCATCTCATCGGAGTTAACTTCGAAACCAGAGACATCCAAGTCGATCCCAGCCACATCATCTGCAAAGTCATTTGTCTCGACTACTCCGCTCATTCATGCGGTGAAAAATCTAGGGTTTCGACCCACTCCAAAATTGGGGCTTCTGTCTCTCTTGTTTTCACTCTCCATGGTACTGTTATTTTAACCCTCTCTGTTTATTTGTTACTGACTTTGGTATTCAAAACAGAGTTTGGAAGCATATTTTTGCATATGAAACTTGAATTAGTTTCTCATGCTCATTTCTTCTCATTATCAGTTTGTCTTTTTGGTGTTTTGGTAGTAGGCTTTTGGTGCATTCTTTTCAGTGGCTTTGGTATCTGTTCCAACTGTAATTGTAAGTTCAAAAGGATTTCTATTCAGTGTTGTGAGCGAAGAATTCAGTTTTCATCTGTTTTAGCACATCTATAGCACATGTTTAGAATGGCTGGCATTTATTGGTGAGTTTTCATGCCATGCACAGGCTTTTGGAAGATTAGGAGTTTCAATGAAAAAATTGTCTAAAGTTGCCTCAGAAGAGGTACCGGGAACTTTATCTTCTCTCAAACTTTCTAGTATGGAGGTGAACGACTTGGCCCAAGAACTTAGAAATCTCAGGTGATACTTCTCGAGTTCCTTTGTTCGTTATAAGTTGTATAGATGTACAGTTTAAGCCTTTTCTGTCAGTCTATCTCTGATGGTGCGATGTCTTCCCTTCGTTTTAAGGCATGAAATTTCTGGAATCCGCACGGTAGAGAATGACAGAGACACTAAAGATGCAAGATCCTTCCGGAACAAGGACTCAATATCCTAATTCTGAATATCCCCAATGTTGCCTAGATAACCACTACGTTCCTCCGCACACCCCAACCAAAAAAAAAAACTATATCTCTGAACTTACCGCCATGTGGGAATTGCTGACTGCTTGTCAGGCCTGTTCGTTCATCTGGTTCAGTTGAAAATGAAGCAGCTAGTGAACTCAAATTAAAGGAAACTATTGGTTCTTTTGAGTTTGGTGCTGTAATTGCAAAATGCCGAGAAAAGCTGATCGTGCATAGCGTTTCTTTTCGCAGTTGGATTAGTTTCCAGGCTTCTCCTGAACCTTTAATTGCAAGATGTTTCATTATCCATATACATAAATGCACAAAAAAAGATATGATCATGTTGTGCATCTCAGGAATTCTTTTTTTTTTTTTTTTTTGACTTGATGCAATTCTGGTTACAGAAGAATTGTACTTATTACTTAAACAAATCAAACCATATGAATATTCACAGTTTTGCATACTTCTTGAGAGCTTTGTCAGCATCTTTTGCATGATCTGGGACTGGCATGTTGCTTAGAAGAGTAACCCTAGACGATGATACCAAGGATCTATTTTGAGAGTTTGAAGGATCTATCTTCCAAATTCTCACTTCCCATACCTGCTTCAAAATAGAGTAAAATTTGATGAGCAGGGTCTGTTTATGACGTTTGAATAGAGCAACATATGACTTCTATGTTGTAGAATTTAACCAACATGTACTTGCTCGTTATGGGGCATGTAGTTCCTAATCCAGTGAACATTTTCTCCTAAGAGTAAGAAGGTATGGTGTGATGCCCAGTGCCACATCGAGGGAAAATGAAACGGATAGCATTTTTAATCCTTCTTAAGCTAACGATACTAAGCTGCCAAATAGCTGCAGATTAAAACTGAAACAGCCAATTAATTGATTGTTCACTTGAAACCAAGCTCAAACTTTAACATTGGGGTGAGCTTGATTACTGTAATGGTTCAATTCCTCTATCTGCTAGTATATGTGTCAGTAAAGTAGAAAACATTCTATGCTAATTTAAATATATGATGACCAGACCACTTCCAACTTCAGCGAATAGGAAAACTCAAGCACAAAAAAAGAAATGCTGAGGCGATATCAATCATGTTTAGCCGGAAAAATGTTCATATAGTGACGAAAGAGGTTGGAATTTTCAATTTCTTAGTACTAGTTTTTCTTCTCAACTCTCAAGTTATTCGGCAGATCTCCAAGCAGTTTCTTTCAACAACTGGTCAAATGAACAGATTAATAACGACTTGGTCACGAGGCAGAGACGGAAACCAGAATGTGGCTATGTCGATTGTTGAGATGATAACAGTTTAGGGACAGAGGTTCTATGAGTAAAGAATGGAAACACTTGCATCCATTTATCTCTCTCTTCTTTTTTGGGGCCGGGGAAGTGGGGTGGGGTTGCTATTTATAATTCTACGGTTTTCTTAAGTCGATCCATTTCATTAGCAGCTGGCGGACTAAGCCAGATTAATGGCCTTGGCTCTGTGTGAAATCAGGCTTTACAGGAATAAGGTGATGTTCAACAGCTAAGTGCTGACCAACATATGAGCCTGCTATGAATTTCACTACATCAGAATCAAGTTGCTTGGATGCAGGATAAGGAAGTTGTGGCAACAGGTACAGCAGATGGAATTCGGAGTGATGATTCAAAGGGAGGGAGGATGTTGGAGGATAAATGATCGACTGTTCTTAATGGAAGAGGAGGCCAAAAAAACCAGAATTGTGCAAGGTCGTTATTGGTCTATATGGTTTCAAAGGTGATTTGATCACGACATGGGAATGAGAGGATATAAAATGGTAGGACTAAATCGCGTTTAATTCTTGATGGCTAACAGCAGAGCATCAGCTTATGGCGTAAGTAATGTATGAAAGAATTAAAAGTTTATTCAGTTTATGCCCATAATGTTGTGATTCTGTGATGTTTTATTGATACCAGAAAGCCTCATAAACTGAACTTTTGTGCATGGAAGGAATTAAGAGAGACAGAGATGCAATGTGAAAGAGGAAGGAAGACCTGGATGCTTTTGCCAACATGAAGAGGGGTGGCTTCGGCATGGACCAAGTCACCCAGCTCGGCGCGTCTGAGATGGTTGATGCTGAGCTGAACTCCGGCTACTCTTTTGAAACCAGAAGCCATGTGAGCTCCCATGCTTGCCAGGCCCTCTGCGATCATGGCCGACACCCCTCCATGTAAGACCTTGAACGGCTAAATTCGGCAACCAAAAACATTGAGATCTCAGTAAATCAAGCACAGAAGAAAGAAGGGGAAATTGGGAATGAAGAAAAGTTGGGGGTTGACCTGGCAGCACTTATGAGTCACAGGGAGGCGGCCGGCCACCCTGTGGGGGGAGACATCTTCAATCACGAAGCCAATTGCGTGAAGAGGAGCATCCAAATCTGCGGTCTTTGATGATGAAGAGGCTTCGTCCTCCATTGAAAGAGCTGGGGCCTTGGAAGATGGAAAATGTTTGGTGAAGTCGAAGTGTTGAAGCGTTATAGGAAGTCGTTGATGGAGAGGGTATTTCGGACCATTCGTGAGAAGGAATGGTGGGTGGGTGCCACTGGTTGGGTAGGTGGCTGAAGGAAGATGAGGTGGTGATGGTCGATTCTCAATTCAATTCCACCTCCAAGCAAATTCCCTTTAAGCACTGTTTCTGCTTTCTATTGTAAAGAACAGACACGTGCCTTTTTGTCTTCATTCATATTGATGCTAAATTTTACTTGCTGCCTCTCTGTCTTTGCTCATATCCAGATATTCTGCTTTAACCTTCTTTTTTTTTTTTTTTTCCTTTCACGTGTTGAATCAATTTCGTTCCCCTCCTACTTATGATGCCAAAATCCTGTTAAATGGCTCATCAAAAAAAAAAAAAATCCTGTTAAATGGTCATCCTTGTGATCTTTTTCTCGATTCAAAATTAACTTTGCTAACATCTTAAAACATAAAAATTTATCAGTAAATCCTTCAAATTTTATATTATTTATCACATGAAATTTTAAAATACATATATAATTCAAAATATTTTTTATTAAACAATTTTTGAAGATATCAATTTTATCCTTGAAATGGGGAGCATGTGAACTGAGTTTGACCGGGTCGAATATCAACCTGGGGCCCGGTCCAGTGTTTTTAGTCTTGTACTCCTCATCTGGTGGGGGCTGGACTAACTTGGGCTAAAATCGAGCAAGTCGAGTCCAGTCCTTGATGGGCTGGGTCATGGGGTCCCACGAAGTTCTCTCTCGCTCCTTTCTGCGTGGCAACTCCGATGGCCCAATACGAAACATACTCCTTTTTTGTTCTGTTCTCTGGCCCAAGACCACGGCCCATCAAAGGAGTGCAGGCAGGCTCATCATATATCAAACTGCCCATGGAACTCTGCATAGCCCACAATCCTTCAGTCTGTAGTTATTTTTCTTCCTTTTTGCCAACCCCCCAGTCTCTAATTATACAGCAGAGTTTTAAAATCCTAGTTGGTCCCAAATACAGAGCAAAGAAATGGTAATTGATTTTTTGAAAAAAAAATATTGCTCACCTTAATTGCATCAAGTTGGTGGCATCCTTTTAATTTCTCAACACATTTTGTTGTGATAATAATTTTAGTGAATTTGTTTTTGTAAGTTTAGGAATATTAATGACCACCCCTCAAATATCATGAAGCTAGTTAATCATGGGATAGAGTACATTTCTAAGCAACAGGGAAAAAATCTTGTACTGACTAAGCGGGGGGAATTATATTCCTCTGATCTTTAATATAAGACCCATTTAACTAATTTGATTAGATTTAAAAAGTTAGATAAGTTAATTAATTATAAGAAATGTGACACGTTTTTTCTAAAACACCATAATCATCTTTCTTAATACCTCCTCTCCCTCTTCTATTTGATTATGGTTGAGTAAGTGTCCATAAGAGTAATTTAGAGAAAATTGATAAATATGAGAAATGAGTTTTATATTTAGGACCAAAACCAACTCGACAATTAGGTCTTATATTAAAGACCGGAGGAGTATATGTTACGTAGCAAAGTCAGATTTAATATACTCCTCCGGTCCTTAATATAAGACCCATTTAACTAATTTGATTAGATTAAGGAAGTTAGGTAAGTTAGTTAATTATAAGAAATGTGACACGTTTTTCCTAAAATACCATAATCATTTTTCTTAATACCCTATCTTCCTCTTCTACTTGATTATGGTTGAAGGAGTATCCGTAGGGGTAATTTAGAGAAAATTGACAAATATGAGAAATGGGTCTTATATTTAAGACCAAAATCAACTCAACAATTGGGTCCTATATTAAGGACCAGAGGAGTATATCCAAACAGTGAATAATCTTTCATCTTGTTGACTATAACTGCCAATATATTAGTGGTGAAAAAAATAGATAATATACTGAAAGATGCAGAAGGAAGCACAAATTGAACCCTAAGATATGCTTCCATGAAGCTCAGTAGTAAATAAAACTGAATAAATTAAAATAAATAAGGAATTATGTTGTCAAGTAATTGTTATTGGAATTATTAGCCAAATGAATTTTCATTATCACTCACCAAATAAACTCGATGAAGCAAACATTCACTTTCACGCAAGCAAGGATCCGCATCGAGTTTGAATTCACTTGTAAATCTTCAACAGTATATAAAATAAAAAGTTACTTTCCATATTACAAAAAGGGCTATTCAAAAAAATATCTCGGAAAGTCTCTCAGATTCTGAAAAATTAGAAATGAAGTCCAGAAATATCTAAAGCACTTCTCAGTACACTAATTAAAAATGAATTCCAAAAATTGACATAGCTATCCTTAATACAGTGTCTACTTAACTAATTTGTGTAAATTAAAAAAATTAGTTAAATTAATTATTTATTAAATATATGTATCAATTTTTTTAAAAATACTCTCTTAAATCATTTGGATTATTATATTTAGAACTAAATTCAACTCTTCTAGTAGTTTTTATATTAGAGATCGCAAATGTATCTTAAATGGAGAGAAACCCATAAAAGATCAGGAAATTTGTAGAGAGATACACATGATATGTGACATATGAATATTAAATAATTTTGTGTAATAAATCATAAAAGTGTGTTCATAATCATCTAAGGAAGATTACGAAATCCCAAGTGGCTTTAATTAAATATATAGTTACATGGTGGGAAAAAGGAAGATAATCATCATCGCCACCTTTTTTGAATTATGATTAAAACCCACAAATACAAATACATGTATGAACCTAACTTTTATAGATATACGCATAACAGTATCTTAACTTTTCTTTTGTTTTTTTTAAAATTAAGATCGTCCCTAAATAAAGGGCTTTTATGAAGTGCATAAAGAACAGCAACACGATTCCCCAATCTCACAACCAACAAAGGCACACATTTGTTTAGGCCAACATATTGACATATAAAATTGAAAAGGAAAAAAGTGAGGAAAAGGAATTGTTAAATACATACCCCTCTTATCTTAATTTATAAGGTAAAGATAAAATTTTTCTTATTTTTATTTATAAATCAACCCATTAAATTTTTCTAACATAAATATATTATTATATCTTTTATTTATTATAGTATGGGTGGTTTTTTTTTTTAAAAATGTATATATTAAATCAGAGTAAAATTAAAAAGTTGTTAAAAATTTTAAGACAGAGTTAATGAGCAGTTTAAGATTTTTTTTTTTAATCTATAAACAAAATTAAAGGAGTACATATATAGACATAAGATAATGCGATAAAATGAAACGTACATGAGGTACATAATAAAGGAAGACAGCTTGAAGGCACTGTGTGTTGGAATAGGAATTTCTGGGAAGATCACAGTCTCTCACCACCTTCACCACAAACTGACACTTCTCTATGTGTATATCTAGAAACCTAGCTTCCTTCTTTGCAAAGATCACCCAAAAACAACCAATATACTAACAATGTAGAGCTGGAAAAGTGGTTCATTTCTATATATACAAGAGGGGGAAAGCAAAACCACAAAAGCTTTGCTTTGCATTTTGTTCTTGTTATTTTTTTCTGTTTGCAGATAAAGATGGTACAGGACCTGGTATTATTATATGTAAGCAAATATATATAAACATATATTTTGTGGCTCTTAGGCATAGTTGTTGCATTCGTAGCTAAGTATATATAAAGACAGCTTAGAGATATTTTTTTTCCTTCACTTTTTAAAGTACTTGTTCTTCTTCTTGCTGCTTTCTGCATCTTTTCTGAATTATTATATAAGATCACTGTGTGAAGTGTGAACGCAAATCGTATTTCATTGGTGAGAAAGGAGGCTTCCGGCTTTTGGGAGCAGTACTTTTAATGCACGCTTACTTATTCAGTAATTTATTATACGATCTGTAGTATATAATCAGGACTGATTGCTCCATTGAAGGATGTGCTATTTTTTATAAAAAAAAAAATTATAGTAAGTTCTTGCTAGGAAGTTTCTCTCTGCATGTGCTAAATGCTTAACAGGTCGGTACTTTGAATCCTATGATTTCAGTGACTTCTAGGATTAGCTTAATGATGAGTTACTTTGCTTTTATATTTGTATATGTGCTGGAAGCTGGTCTGTAATTTTTTTTTTTTATAATGATAACTGAAATTCATTAATCAAAACAGAGAATACACATAATAGAAAACAATAACACTCTTTTATCACCATCTGCCTTTGGTTTAGGAGATGAAAGTAGATCAAGCCGATGAGAGAGTCTAGTTAAGGATTTGTTTGAATTAGCGATTGGAAAAACAGTTTATTATCAATTTGACTTTTGAAAAAGTTAGATTGAGTAAAAGTTAAATTGAGTAATTTGAATTGTATTTTATAAAAGTTAGTTTGTAAAAATTAAATTGGGTAAACAAATTGTTTGGATTATACTTGAATAAAAATAAATTTAGTTTGTATGATTACCAAAATGGGTATGAATTTTATTAGATAACAAAAAATGATTAAAAATATAAATTTACAAAATATAACAATTTTATATTATTATAACAGGAAAAAGTTATATTTAATGAATAAAATATATTTAAATTAGAAATCATATTAATGTAAAAAAAATTTACACCAAGTAATATTACATAATTAATTAGATGATATACTCTGTATAATTTATGTAAATATAAAATAAAAATAATATTAAAAATTAAAAATATTATAAAAACTGTTGAAAATGATTTTAACTTAAGAGAATATTAAAAATAAATAACTAAAAATTAATTCGGAAGCATGAGAAATATATAGAGAAAAGCATAAAAATAACATAGACATAAGGGCAAAAATATCTTTTAATTTCAAAAAGCTATTTTTTCATAAATCATAAGTAAGTTTTAAGTGCTTTTACAATCATGCTTAAAAAAGTAGTTTTTGACTTATAAATCAGATTGGACAAAAACTGTGAAAAGAAACTCCTAGTTTTGCAAACTAACTTATTACATCTATAAGTTATTTTTTCCTCCCAAAACACCACCCCAAACAGGCTATAAGTAATCACACTCCTAGTCACTACTTGTACATGCATAATTTTTACATCTACATACATAGTTATTGATTAAAATTTTTACCTTTACTTTTGGGTGGATAGAAGACAAATATAAACTACTCTTCCGGTCCTAAATATAAGACTCTTATACTAGTATGTATAAGGGTCTTATATTTAGAACTGAAGGAATATCGCCTTATAAACACCAATCGTTATTTGAATTTTGGAAGTACAAATATCAAACTTAAAGATCTTCTTCATATCTTAAGAAAATCACACTAACCCAACTCACATCTAAGATTTAAAATAAGTGGGTATGAATTAAGCAATCCAGCCGCCTCCTCTCCTCTTTTTTTCTTTCTTCTTTTTTCCTTTCTCTTTTTATTTTAACCCTCTCATTCCAAAAGCTTCTTCCAGATGTGTAATTTATGAACCTTTATACCAAAGACTTGAACTTTCCAGTCCAAGTAGTTGTTATTCCTGCCATCTGGATTCCAAGAAAGAGTTTAAAAATGAGAAAAAGAAGAACCGAGTGTAATCCAGGGAGACTCTATACGTAGAGAGATGACATAGTTATATACGCGTAGATTCAACAAAGGCATCAAGCTAGCTAATTCTGTAGGCATTATTTAAAAACACCAAATATCTAAAACAAAGAATGAAGCATCTCTTTTTTTGACGCAGGAAACTAAATCACACTGACCTGCCTAACTAGACACAGTTTTCTACCATTTAGCTATTAAAAACCATTTGTCTGCTATATCTTCATCACTTATTTCGCCAAATCTGAGTTCTTTATCAGATAAAAAATTGCTTTTTTTTTTTTAACTGGAAGGAATAAGACTGGACTAATTAATACTATTACTCTGAATAAAGTTAAGTAGTTACATGTAATATAAACATGTGTTACTGTTCGTTAGGGAAAGCAAAGTTGGGCAGCGTATGACCAAATCACCAGAGAAAGTCAAAAGCAGGGGACAGGAGTGGTTTTGCTTCTCCACCCGGGGGGGGGGGGGATTTTTACAGCCATGCCTCTCTTGTGAGTCTTATCAGAGAATCCTCACCGTCCATTTCCTTCCTCATAAAAAAAAAAATAGCCTCTCACAAAGCTTGCTCTATAAATACAACTCCTTCGTATCCATGCGGCTTCAGACTACAAGTTGCTTGGTTCTCAAGAACCCCCTTGAGATAATATCAAACAGCGAGTCTCACAGAATCACCACTACCACATCATCATCATCAAACCCCGCCAAGAAGAGAAGAAGAAGACGATCAATTATCAGCATCAGGAAAGTGAGAATGGGAGCAAAGAAGTCATCATTCTCATCATTCTGTGGCATATTCAAGTCGTGCTTTTCAAGTGGAAGCAGAGATGATTACTACTGGGAAGATGGTCCCGGTGGAGAAAGGATATTTGCAAGTGATGAAGACAGAGGCCGTTGGGTCGCAGAGCCTGGTATTGACAGGAAAGCTTCTGCTTTCATTGCTCGTTTCTATGCCTCCCGTGTCTCAGACTCTGAGCATCAGTTCGCTTCTTAAGCGCAAAAACAAGACAAGAACAAGAACCTTCCTTCTCCTCTTCTTTGATTTTCCATTCTTGCAAACTAGTTTTAGCTTTCTTCTCGAAATTCTGACCAATCTTGTTAGCTGGAATAATGTGGTCCTCAATAATGTAAAAACATTTATTCATTTATGTTATTACGTGTGATTTCATTTACATCCATTCTGGCTATTATTCCTCTTCTTCCTCTCTATTTTCTTTTACTTTACTGCTGATTATAATGCATGGGGGTGTCAAGCATTTTGTTCATGACATAAAGCTTGAATATGTTTAACGGGAAAGATCTTGGGATTTGGAGATGAATAATGTGGTGTTGGCATAAGAACTTCACAAAAGGATTGGTTAATATTCCAGAGAAGTTTATTAAAAAAGAAATAATTGGATGCTGAACAGTCTAGTTCGTGATGTTTAAGTTTTCCAAGTGATTGCTGAATGATACTGTTTTAAGTAGTGACACAAGTATTTATTCTAGTTTTTGGACGAGAACTTGCAGTAGTTGCTTCTTCAAGTAACTAAATGACGACATATGACAGGAGGCCATAATTTGATAGTACTAATTCTCTCTTTCTGCGAATCTTCAACTTTGTAAAGCCATGTTGAAATGATGCATTTTGCTGTCAAGAAAAGAAATCATGGGAGTACAAGATGTACAATATCAAGTGTTATCTTTCTTTCTTTTCTTTTTTTGATTTGATAGCAGCTCTTGGCTATATTTCTCTTCACCTATATTTTATCCCTTCATATATTCCCTGGTTCTTTTCTCCAAGAGACAAGAAGATATTGGATTTTTCTTTTCCAAAAAACAAAAAAGAAAAATTAAAAAAGTTGCGACCAGGTGCAGATTGAACATAACTCGCTGAAAGAATCACATGCACGGAGAACATTGGTTTCGCGATTTTGTCAAAAGATGGTACTGTCATTGAGAGAAAATAATTCAGCTTTGTCTGCTGCATAAATTTGGAAGCACAATATCTCATACCAAACTTCTCTTTCAACCAAGTAATTAGTGCCATGGGAAAAAAAAATGAAGTATTCAATGTGTTCAACACATCAGAAGTATAAGGTACTACCTCTAGTCCTTAATATAAGATCTTATTTGATTTTTATTTTGATTCTCAATATAATACCTCAATCCATTTTGTTTCTTATATTTATGTATTTTTTTCCAAAATAGTCCTTCTAATAATGATAATTTTAGCCAATATATACTTGATCAGCAAAAATATTTTAGGAAAGATAACACCTATTTATCCTATTTTCGTAATTTACTCAAATTAGTTAGTTAGCTCTGATATTTAAAACCAGAGGTAATTTATACGTTGATTGAAGTCTATATGCATCAACTTGATAAGAACATGAGTTCTTACCGTAAATTTAGGTAGCATACTTTTTTTTCTTTAATTCTATGTTTCTTTAGGCATGGGTTTTTTCCCAAGCAGTTTTGTCTTGGCCTCTCTCAATAAACATAAGGTTTTTGACCTACCTTGTGTTCCCCCAGAGAAGTCAGAAACTTCAAACTTGAAGATAACGCTGTTTCTTCTTGTTTTATTGGTGACCATGTTTATTTAATTCTTCTGGGCATTTACTTTTCCATGATCCGGTAATGCATGCAGATAATCCAACATTTGCTGCAACTATATTGTTTCTAAAATTGAAAGTACGGAGATTGGTTCTCAACTTAAAATCAAAAAGTCTAGTCTAAAGCAGGAGCTTGTATTGCCAATGTAGTAGAGGGGGAAAATATGGAAACTGAGGACAGCATATAATTAAAGCTTTTTTTTTTTTTTGGGGTACTGTCTTCAGCTTCTTTTTAGTTTTTATCGGATAAACTTGCATAGGTTCCATTTCGTTTTTTTAAGGATTATGTCAGAATTAAAAGACATGACAGCATCCAAAAACTTGATATGCACAATAGTGACAGCATACTGTTAGATATATTGATAATGGAAGAACTAGAGAGGTGCAATAATGCCAGTGGCATAGGCTATAGTTTTATATATATATATAGAGAGAGAGAGAGAGAAAGAGAAGTTTGTGCTCTTATGCTTTTCTGGGGTTCACTTTAAAACCATTGGCAAAGGTTGATTGGAATCTTCAATAAATGTACACTATCAGAATGACAGGATACCACATAACAGTATGGCACGTTGGAACAGTATTCCAGCATCTTTTTCGTAAACCAGTGTCTATATCCGTGGAATTTTATTGTTCTCAGTTCTGCCTGGTTTAAGTGGAAAAAAGCTCTTTTCACTGCACGAACTAGTGCTCAATTATCATGAACAATATATTGAACTCCTCTCCTTTCAGCCAAAAATATAAGGAATTTTGAGCTGAACTCTATTAGTAGAAGATAAGTAGAGCAACTCAATGATCATGTGCTGAACTTGTAACCTTTTGGTAGTTAGCTTGTTCCCTATTACAATGTTGAAGAGTTTATGACAGATTAAATTATGAATTATTAAATTTATGTTTTTTATTACAATGTGTATTTGACGAGGTTATTGACCAAGTCAATTAGCATGTTATACGTCATATGTTATAAGTAGATACCCAACAGATAAATCAGTCTTCTTTTTGTTTGTACTCTCTGCTCAGGTTAAGAGGATTGTGGATTGTAATTCTTTTTTTCTAGTCCTTGATTTAAGAACTATTTGCTTTCACACAATTTGTGATTACTACGATATTACTCTATCATTTTTACGGCTATGGATTATATATGTACGCAATTGGTTGATTGATTCGCTTCACAATTTGGGATACTTTCAACATGTTATACACACTTACTAGCGTCTAGTAAAATCCACCTTCAACATAATATACATAAATAGCTTTAAGAATAACTAGATTTATTGAACTTTGGAAAACGGGATCTATCTGAAAATACATGTAGCATAGCAAGGTAGAGTACAGATAAGAGATAACTATCACTCGCCAAAGTTTCTCCTTTTCCCTATAAGGGAAGCATTTTGTACAAACACTTGGCGGGCACGTGTACTCTTTCGGGGAAGCCAGTGAGCTGGTGTGAAACCAGAAAAGGCTTATCCTTCTGTAGACTAGAGGAATCTGATTTGGGGTTATCAGCTTCAGCCTTCAGGAGACAGATTGACAAGGACTAGTACTATACACAGATATATATATATATATATATATAGATGTGTGTGTGTGAAGTGATGCAAAGACCTCTATATATATGCTGTCTGAATTTTAAAGTACAGTATATAGAAGGCTAACAGCATCTTCTCAATCAACTAGGGGAGTGGCTTTTTCTGGTTTTTGGAATTGTTGCAGCTAAGAGTTAAATCTCATGGGATATGATGGAACAAGTGAAGAAGAAGCTGGTGAATTGAATGCTTGTAAATAGCTAGTGTACTGCAAGTAGACAAGGTTTAATGGCTCCAAGCTGTAAAATGTTTGCCAAATTTGGAAGAAGGAAAAAGAAGATTTGTCATCAAGTGCTTAAAAGAAAGCAGGTTTTTATTGGATTCTTTGGATAAGAAAGTTTTTTTCTTCTCTTGTACTCCAATTTAAGCAGTGTAGTTCTGAGAAATCTATGCATTATGATGAACTGCATTTTGAATGGCACAGGAAGAAAATGCTTATTACTGAGTCAAACTCATGTCTGCTCTAAATAATGCAATCACCAGATTTTTTTTTTTTTTAAATACTCGAATTCCACATCCTCAGTTAATTTATACTCTCAAAAATCATTTTGAAGATACATGCACTTTCCTTCGATTTTTAATTTGATATCTTTTTTTTTCTCTCTTTATTAAATTTTTTTAATTTTGCTCTATCAATATTATTAGCACCGTAAGTCCTTGTAAATGGATTAGCGGTGCTAACAAAACAAAATTACAAAACTAACAGCACTAATAGAACAAAGTTACAAGGTTAACAGAGTAAAATCAAAGGATTTAATAAAGATAAAAAAATATAGGTATCAAATTAAAAGTTGAGAAAAAATATGAGTATTTACAAAATGGTTTTCATTGTTTTAAATGAAAAATATAAACAATTAATGGGTGAATATGTGACTGGGTTGTGTGTGAATGGATGTGTTTTGTGAAGCAAGGTGATGGTGTTCGGTATTCCTCTTATTTGGACCTTTCATTTATCTACTTTGAATTTGGATTTTCGTTGCCAGTTTCTAAGGTTTCATTGTTTCAATAGAGTGAATGAATTAAATTAATTATTTTATTTTATTTTTACCATGGAATTAAATTAGTTCGGTAGTGCGAATATTAATTTTTTATTATTATCATAAATAAACCTCTCTTAATTGTTTATTTATATTCGAGGTCCTTATTCTAAATATTCTGTGCGTGCACTGGAAGACATTAACGACCACGTGATTTCCCTCAACCAAAGGCATAGACCCGTGAATGATCGAGCAAATTATATTATAAATTTAGTTAAAATAATAGAAAAATTTTATTTCATTTTTCAGAATAAAAAATCACTTCAATTTGAATCTAGTCAGTTCATAAATTATAAAAATGTCGAATTCTGCCATGCATATCAAAGTTTTACTGATCATCGTGATTGATATGGTAGGGTTCCTTTCATAGTCATAATTTTCAAATTTAATGGAACTACTTAATACCTTTCTAAATAACAGTATTATTTTATAGAACCATTAATATTATATACTCCTTTTTTTTTGTGAAGTAATATTATATACTCCTCTTATCACATTAATAAGACATAGAAAGATATCTTTGCTTTAAGTTGCTTCATTAAATCTACATAAATGTACAATTTTGAAAATTATATAAGAATAAAATTAAAAAATTATTAAAATTTTAAACAAGGTTGATAAGATTTAGGTTTTTCTTAATTTTAGTAAAAACATGTTGAAAGTATCTTATAATTAGGATTAAAGAAGTCTATATTATAATGGAGAAAATGAATGGTGGATTTGACCAAGCCACCATGAATTAGAAGAGAAGTTGGAGTCCATTAATTCCAACGTACAAAGAAAATCAAGTTTGAATGGAATAATAATCAGTCAATGGGTTCTATCTTTATTCACCTAATTCAATTTTAATTAACAATTAATAATCTGTTTAGCACTATCAATTGTTGGGTTACTTCGACCGGTCTTCTTCTGTCTCTTTGACCCTATTTTATGCAACAATTCTGATCCCCCAAAATTA